GAGAGAGAGGGGGGGAGGGAGGGAGGGAGGGAGAGAGAGAGAGAGAGAGAGAGGGAGAGAGAGAGAGAGAGGGAGAGAGAGAGAGAGAGAGAGGGAGGGAGAGAGAGAGAGAGAGAGAGAGAGGAGGGGGGGGAGGAGTGAGAAAACAAGGGTGTGTCTATTCACTAAATATAATTTGTTACATGATCATGTTGTATGTATACATGCAGCATGCTTTCATGTTTATGTGCTGTGTGATCTGTTATGCTGCCTGTGGTATGCGTTGCTTCACATCAGAGCTTTGTTATATCATTAATGTGGTATTGAATCTCATTATTAACTCATTTTCGTGGTACGTGTGAATGTCTACACACCAATTACCGTGGTATGTAATGCTATGCACCCATACACCTCTCATATGTACGCAATACGCTATATACACATATATACAGCTATATATACATGTACATGTACATGTGCCCTATAATTGAACTCATTTGCTTCTCGTTTAATGTGGTATTATGACGGCAGCTTAGATACTATGTACACAGCATACTTGTGTCTTTGTGTAATGTTATACCGGCTCTCTGATCTTCCCTTTTATTCTTTGTTTGTCTTTTGTGTCAGAATCTCTTAGGCTGTAGCTGGTCTCCAGACGGTCGGTTGGTAGCAGCTGGATCTGCTGACAGGTAAATTGTTTTTTTGTGTGCAGTACCCGATATTAATTTTATGTCATACATATGATTAGTTATCTGTGTCATCCTTAATTTTCTTTCTCTTTCACTTTCCCGTTTTTATTTCTCCCACCTATGCCTGTCTCTTTTTCCTTTGTGTTGTTTTTGTTTATCCTTTGCTATTCTTTTTGTTCTTTCCCCTTTACATACTCTCTCTTATTCCTCTCTATCCCTCTCTCTCTCTCTCTCTCTTTCTAATAGATATGTGTATGTATGGGACACCATTACGGGTCACATCAGATACAAGTTACCTGGACACCAAGGCAGTGTCAATGATGTGGATTTCCATCCAAAAGAGCCAATTTGTAAGGCAAATATGTTATTATCTGATTGCATGTACCTGTACGTGACGTGCCTCATTTGTTTTTACTAGTCTTTATTATTAATTTTATTATATAAAGCCTGTCCCGTGCAACTATTTTGATTGATGTAATGTCCTGTTGTTTCTCATCTCATCTTGCCACTAATTAAAGGACATACAATAATTATAGTACGATTACGTATCTTACGGGGAAAAGGGTGCAGTCTGGCCCATACTCAATATTTACCCCTTTTATGAGGTTTGTTGTACAAAATTGGTCCAGAGGAGATACATGTTGAATGTAAATGTTTATAGACGCTAATTGCATGTAATATCGAGGGAGTTCCATTGACGATATTTGACGCCTGAGGTTAGGTACTACAACAGGCTGGGCTTGCACCTATTAGGCATCTAATGCATTTTGTGTTGAAATAATAGGACCTGAGATTTACCCTTTGTAATTCAGTAATTGAAGTACACGTTGCTTTTCACACTTTATAATGATACCACGCATGTGACAATGGTGCTAAGACAGGCAACAGAAACTATTGTGGTTCTTGTTGTTATTAGTATTGTTTGTTTGTTTGTTGTTGTTGTTGTTTGTATTGTTCTTGTTGGATTGTATTATAAATAAAACAGTTTGCAGGGGGAGGGTTCATGACATTGTGGTTTGTAGATTTAGACTCAGGATGTCATTTGATACCTAGAAGAGTAACCCACACACACGTGTATACCCGGACACTCTTAGTCTATTTGTGTTTCTTATCTCTGTGGTTTCTCATTGATGCCCACACATTTCAGACTTTGGGTATATTTGAAAATGTTCCTCCCACCCACTTATTTTGAGCTGATTCCATTGGAATGCCATGTTTAATGAAGCGTGTAGTAGAAAAGACTGTAGCAGGACCTCTACAACATTGGGCCCACACTACCTGTCCTTAATACAGAGGTGTCCTCATTTCTGAGGTACTTTTGTATAGGTTTGTACCAATTGGGATATCATTAGATGTTCTTATTATAAACATTGCTTTATTTCAAAGAATCCTGCAATACATACAGCACATTGAGTTCTGGGTAGCTATAATCTTATTTTTGATTTTGCAGATTGCATGCATCTTGACTGTGCAACTCATAATTGTTTGCCATACTGTCTCATTAATGATGATAAAAACTTCTGGCTTATTGGCTTTTTAAACACATGGTCTTTGTTTAAAATTATATTTTTCTATCCCCATGAGGTTAAAATGTTATTTTTCAACTCGTTGAACCTTGTTATGACACAGATTCTTATGGTCATTAGTAATCCTTTCATATTTCTCTTTGTGTTATTTAGTACTCTCTTGCTCAAGCGACAAGACTCTGTATCTTGGTGAACTTCAGTAAATCAAAGACACTTGATACTCCTGTGAATGCATCTATCCTTTAATTCCTTTTTGATGTATAGAAAAACCAGAAAACAATGAAATGCTGCGCCGCCGAAAACATTAAAATGCGCTCGGCGGAACACACGTGTAAATCCAGGTACCACCACATGCAGGTGGGACCCAGTTTTATAAAAGTACTGATATGGGCCCGTAGAAACTACAGAGAACTAAAGATATCTGCTTGAAAGCACTGCCCAAAAGCGACCACGATGCTATTTGTTGCGCATATCTTACTTTTAACAACAATGGCGTTCTTCATGACTGCTCAAACAGCTCCTTTAAGTAGGGAGCCCTTGGCCGACGCTCCAAAGAGAAAGGCGCCCGAGTTTCTCCTCAGCATTTACTCTTGCATAAATCTCCACGACGATGACACAGCTAGGACGTGCCTCAACTTCATTGGAAAGAAGCAAGAAAAGATTGAAGAGATCATTAAAGCAAATGCTGTATGGGGATTTGTTGGAATGAATGGTAAGACTGAACTATGATCTGATTTTGCCTGAATTTTATTTGATTGATATGCACATAAATCAGTGTATTTACTCATAACTCATTATGAATATAGGATCATCACATAATGATAGTGACGTCAGTTTCAAAATAACTCACACTTCATCTTCACGCGATGCGAAAGTCCTCTCTGCTGACCTCGAGCTATTCAAAAAGTCCCTCAACGAAAGTGAGATTGAGGATTTATCGACTGAGAAATGCAACATATCAAAAGACGGGGTTAACTTAAAACTGATACTAAACAAAGAGATGATTGACACTGTAACACTTACACCATCTGATCTCCGAGAAGACAAATGGATTGATTTCCCTCCCATTGAGAAGTGGTACAACAAATGGCTAAAGAAGCAGAATTCATCCTTAACTAATGATGACTATGTCCATTTGCAGTTGGTGCTATCACCAGAATGCTCAACCCATTTCTCTCTAAAGGATATAGGTGTAACAACAGCAGAAGGTTATGAACCACTGCTAGTGATATATGCTCAGAGTCCAAGGGATGGTCTTGCTGATCAGTTATTTCACGAAAAATTAAGTAACTACATAAAGAGCAAGCGATCTGCACAACCAACTGAGTCAACAAGCAAGATTCATCCAGTAAACAAAACCATTCCTTGTCATCTCGTAAATTATTCTGTAAGCACAAAAATCCTATCTTTCCCCAGATTTTTATGCTTTATTTTTTTATAAAACACTAGATACCATATCAGGTCATAGGATCTCCAGTTGCTGGTGGCTTTAATCTTAATTTCTGTGGTGGTCACTGCCTCTTTCCATTGCCAGCCAACAACACAGTCAACCATGCAATGTTGGTAGCATACATTTATGCTTCTAATCAAGTTCCACTAAAACCTCCTCAGCCGTGCTGCACTCCAACTTCATATCTCTCTCTAGTAACTTTTAAGAAAGAGACAAGCACAACTTACATATTGGTAAAATATGAACAAATGACAGCAGTGGCTTGTTCCTGTCGATAGTTATTTTACCTTCTTGCATGACACTTGATTCACATGATTTGCCCATTCGTCATTCTACTTTCACTTCTATATTATAATTACTGTTATTATTATTTCTATTATTATTATTATTATTGTCATCATTGTTTGTTGTTTTAACAGTTGTGTTGTGTTATGTTTTTTGAAATAAATTCATTTTCAAAACTCGAATGAAGCACCGAGCAAAGCAACAAATTAGTCACGGGCTCTAATAAAATATACACTTTCCAATAAAGCAGTAGCCCTCCAGTCTCCACTAACAGTTATAACATAAACAATTAGGTTTGTAGTGGGTGTATGATACAAACAAAAGAGAATATATAAAACACCTGGACACATCAATAATACAAACAGTCCTGGTGTAGAGACTATCTAAAAGGATGCAGGAGAGGAGTTACTTCTTGCTGATAGGAGTTGTGGCACTATTGCTAACAACAGGGCCCACTCTATCATCCCCTTTGGATAATTCAAAGAAGGAACAAAGTGTTTTTGTTGATAAAGATGAGGGCAACCCTACTACTGACTCAATTATAACAGAAAACCATACAGATGCTCCAGAAGTTACCAGGAGTTCCCCTACCCCTGTTCCCCCCTATGTAGAATCCCTTTACGAGTGTTGGCAGAAAGAGGACAGCACTCAAAAGAGGGAATGCCTCAGATCCATGGATGAGGTCCTTGACTTTGAAGAGATCATAAATTCAAATACAGTCAATTTTTTGATAGGAAAAGGTCAGAGATAGCAAACACTATGCATAATAAGAATCAAATTTTACTGCTACAATTCACACAATTCACTAGCTTTACTTTCATGATCTATTGTCTATTGTCTTTTATTGTCTGTATATGTCTATGTGTGTATAGGTATCCTTGATGATGACAGAAATCTTAGCAATGTCACCAGCAGACCACAGTACCACTCAATAAAATTCAACTTGTCCAGCATCCAGTACAGGGACAGCAATGATTCCACTCTTCAATACGCCGAGCTGAGAATATACAAGGATCGAGTCGTGTCTGATCACTTGCACTCTCTTAACTCGAGCATCTGCCCTATTGAGAACTCTGGAGTTACTCTCTCTCTCTTGACAAGTTTGATGTCTGATGGTAAAGATCATATCATAGAAAGAGTCCCAATATCGTATGAATCACTCCTCAATGAAGGCTGGATAAAGTTTCACACCAATTTGAAACCGGTGCTGTCAGAATGGCTGCAAAAATCTCAGGAGGTCGAGCGAATTTTTAAATTAGTACTTCAGGGAGGCTGTGCCAGCATCAAACTAGAAGAGATAGGTTTCAGTTTGCAACAGGATCCACTTCTTGTTACTTTTGTGAGGAACAAAAGCAACAAGATGGAGGAGGAAGTGATGGAACAGATGACAAAAACAACCATCAGCATGTCAAGGAGAAAGAGAGAGACTTACTCAAAGCCCAAAGACTTTGGGATATGCAAACTCCACACTTATCACGTAAGACATTATCAAACAAAGCATTTATTTTCAATTGCATCAATAGGTTAACTTCACATCACTCGGTTGGAATGATTTCGTCTTGGAACCAAGGTCCTATAAGGCTAATTTCTGTGCTGGGTCCTGTGTGCACCCAATATCCAAGCATATGAATGGGACACTACACTCAGAGCTTATTGCCTTCTCGCATGCACTTGATCCACAGAAGGTCCCCAATCCCTGCTGTGTTCCTACAAAGCTCTTGTCAGAGATGATGTTAGTCCGACTTGACCAGCAATCAATACAGCTTAAAATATACCCAGATATGACTGTAGCCGAGTGCGGCTGTCGATGAACGATATGAAACTAACAAATCATTTTATGTTTTTTAACTTTTGCAATAAATATACTATCCTTTTAATATAATAGTTATCATTGTTATTGTTACTCTGAAAATATAATTTCACAATAATTATTATCGTTATTTTGACTTTTCAAACTTATTTGTCTTTAATACGCTTCCGCATTATTATCCAGTATTTCTTACACAAACATTGTAACCTTCAACAAAAAATCTTTTGTTACCATTGTTGTGCTTGTAATAAATAAAATATTTTAAAACTGATAAGTGATGATTAGTTGCAATAATAATATACATATAATAGCTATATTTGTAAAGCAAAGAGGAACATTTTGTGTGCACAGTTTACAATTATGCTTGATGACAAGAAAAAAGTAGCCATGAGCAAAATACTAACATTTCTGATTGCACATTATGATTAGAGCTTCAATCAATTATGAGGATGTGATGTTGTGTGTGTGTGTGTGCGTGTCCTCAAAATAAGCTGAACAGCCAAAAGGACAAGTGTTATGGACTAATGGAATGCCTAGACATACAACACATCTTCAAAGACAACACGAGACAACACAATGCAAACACAACATCCAAAGCATCCCTCTCTCTTATGTTAGGGAGGAGGGAATTAGGAGAGAATTAGTGTATAATTAGAGTCTTAATTGATGAAGCCAGCTAACTGCATAAAACAACGGTCTGTGAGTCAAAGATAAGACCCAGGACACACATTGACAAAATAATAAGATAAAGTAGCGATCACTCTCACACGTACCTGCAAGCTATTTTGGGATACCTGCACAACAATTAATTTATATGCGCATGAATCTGCACAAAATTCATGCATTGGGCTGTATATCACAAACTCGAAATAAATAATACCATGTGTAAATATAGTGTATAGCCATACATTCACATCCACACAGAATCACATCATAAACATATTCCAAATAATTGCACATGCAACATAACTTAAAGAAGGATGGATGAGAGAGAAGGGCATGTTTATGCATGTCCCCGGAAGTAATATTGAAGGAGTTGTCTGACAAATCTCCTTTAACTGTCTGTGGAACTAATAAGTGGAGGATTGTTATGACGATAGCAGAGCTAGTTTAATCTGATCAGACATCAGCGTTACGTTCGATTGCACAACGCCTTTGTTGTGTTTCCTTGTTTCTGCAATGGGCTGTAGAAATGGATGGGAATTCGTGGATTTGCCTTATTTAGGAGTGGGTTTATCACCCTCTCGTAGACATAAAGTATTTAAGACGCCCTTAATTGAAAATACACACGAAATTATGGTGGAGGGAAATATTATAGGGAGCTGTGATAAACTGATTCCACATTTACAAGTGACTGAACGTATATATACCTGCAGTCTCCCACACACATTACAATGAGTCTATTAAAGCATACAATTTATTGCAAGGAAGGTTAAAGGTTAATGCATAGTAGATGTACATTGCTTGAAATCTCAATGTAACTACTACACAGTAGCTATGTGATGGATACATGATATAGGAACATTTCTCATCCTCTGGCTTTTGCTGTAAATTTTTGTGAAGTTTAACAGTTTTAAGTATTAAAAAAGGTACTGATGAACAATAAAACATAATAGCTTTTTAAATATGACCTGTGTGGACTATTAAATAATAATTAATGTGGAGTTGTGAGAATTTCTATATTACACTAAGTGAATGATCTGGGGAAAAGATTTTGCCTTCGAAAATTATCAGATAATTTTGACAACTGGTCGTCGCTTTGCTGCTCAGCCTTAACACCTAATAAAGAGAAAAAGAACTTAACCTTGTTGATTTCTTAATCATAAAACAGTACAATGTTGCTATGGTTACAAGCCACACCTCCTTTGACGACGGAACTAAAAGAATAATTATTGATATCCACTGGTTGATTGACCCATGAATCAGCTTGAAGATCAGGCAGAGTTGCTCTGGACTTGGGATCAGGATGAAGAAGCCGCAACTGTGTCTTCATTAACCCTGATAATAATAATAATAACAATTAAGAATAAAAAGATACATTATGCCCCCTAAAATAAAAGCGAAAAAAAAAAGAAAAGCTTACAGTACGTAAGTTCTAGCATACACAAGTATATATTTATACAGACAAAAGCGAGCTCTTTACAGCAACAAGTCTCATTATTGCAAATTATCCCTCTCCCTCCCTTTACGCAAGCCCCCATTGTGTGTATACATGCTCCTCACTAATTCTTGTAATGTACAAGATAGACAGTAAACTAACTGACGATCCTTTGTTAGATCAGGATTGCTAGATACAACATGACATGACGTATTTACAATAGGAGAATAGAAACAAGTAAACAAACATGATAGACACCAAATAATAAAGAGAAGGGTGGGAGAAGGGGGAGCATTAATCGTAAAATAGATACGTGTACTTAATATTTACAAATACAAAGAAATGGGGATTGTGTGATTTTAAATATAATGATACTTACATTAAGTAATGAATAGATCATACATGTGTGTTGTATAAATTCAAAGATACAGTAGATGTACATGTAGGTCAAAAAAGGCACACATCTCTCTCTCTCTCTCTCTCTCTAATTACCTGGTGATACAAGGCATGGTGGTTTCAAGTGACCAGCGATGATTTCCTCGACATCAAAAAATGGGTTCTCTCCAAAAACTAACGTGTACAGTGTGACTCCTAACGACCACATCTCTAGCTCCGGGCCAGCATAACTGAAAAGGAAAAAAGAGTTAAGAGATATGCTAACCATCATCTTCATTATAGAATTGAATTGGCAAAGTGGCATACAGTTAAACCTGTCTATTCTGGACACCTTAGGACCCAATAATACCCTAGCTCCTGATTATGAGCCTGTCCTTATTTCAGAGGTTCATTAATACACATTACTATTGTATTGGGACTAATACTACCTGTCCTCATTACAGGTGTCCTTATTTTAGAATGTCCACAATAGCAGCTTATACTGCATACATTATGAGTAGAGCCAAGAGGTGGAAATAAAAACTTTGCCATAAAAACTGAGAGAAGAGAGAGGGCAGATAACCAAATTAGCTTAAGACATGCTATATGTAAACCACAATGAGATTAAAGTAGGACAAACAACAATAAGAAAATAAAAACACCAACACCATAAATAATATAACAATATTTACATATATAAGCATATACATGTGAAAGGGGAGAGTATTTTTAGAGGGAGGCCACATCATATGGAGAGTGAAGTTTCAATATTCGTGGGAATGTGAAAGGAGACAGGATACTTAAATAACGTTTGGATAAGCAAACGTGGGGAAATACTCATAGAGTATAATAATAACCTTTACTGACCAACACATTAATTAAAACAACATGAGAGAAACAGAATAACATAGCCATGAGTAGAGCCCTGACATAGCCAATGACTAACGTAGCAATTAATGTTCATTAATCACACCTATCCTTGCGTCTATAAATACATGTACATGTAGATGTTGGGCAGTTACCATTTTATTGGCATTATAGCATAGAGTGTAGCCTCTTTATTAAGGACACCATTGGGCCCACACTACCTGTCCTTAATACATGTACAGTGTAGCCTCTTTATTAAGGACACCATTGGGCCCACACTGCCTGTATTTCATCTCAGGCATTCTTGTATAAGTACCAATTGGGACATTACAAAATTGTCCTCATTATAAAGGTGTCCTTATTATATAGAGGCTACATGTACTCAGTGCAATGGTATGGGAATGGAAATATAATTCACACGAGAATAGAAACATGGGAATAGGCTCACACCCCCAAAACAGACGAATGTTGATCCCAGCAAGGTGAGGTCGTTTATCTTAATATGATAATTGAATTAATAATAACAATTACCGATATTATTTAATTATCTCACACACACACAGACGAATGCACTTAAAACAGATCACTAATCGCGTTACAGTATTATGGCATTATTGTAAAAATCAATAATAATATTATTAATTCTTTTATCTAATTAGACAACTACAGTAGGTGCCAGACCAAACTTTATCGGCCAAAAACCAAAACATGGTAGTGTCGTTCCCATGGGGACACCCCTAGCAACGACAAGAATTCCCTAGCAACGACAAGAGTTCCCTAGCAGCAACAAGAATTCCTTGGCAACAAGGTATGAGAGCTGAGAAGCAAACAAAACTAAAATGGGGTTAATTGGACAGACACATGGTACAATAAAGGATTGTTGTTATTGCTTTTATGAGATATAACGTCTCACATGACTATTCATTACCTGTTACCAAGTAACACTTCGGGTGAGCAGTATTCCAGTGTGCCACAGAACGTGTTGAAGAGGTGACCCTCCCTCATGTATGCAGCTGATCCAAAGTCTATGAGCTTGAGGTGAAACTGGTGATCGAGGATAATGTTTTCATCCTTTGAAGGACGGAGGAGAGAGAGAGAGGGAGGAGGGAGGGAAGGAGAGAGGGGGAAAGAGATACAATTGTGGACTTCAAATAAGGCCATACCTTGACATCACGGTGTAGAATCTTTAATTCGTGAAGATATGACAATGCTGCGACTACCTGTGGAAGAAAACACATATATGTACACATGTAACATATATGTACATGTAATTGTGCATCTCTCTCTCTCTCACTCTCTCACTCTCTCTCTCTCTCACTCTCTCTCTCTCTCTCTCTCTGAATATATACAAAGTGTACATGTTTATAGTCACACAACATATCAGAGCTGAGAGAGAAAGAGAGTGTGACCCCAGTCTATAAATACTAATAATAACAAATCATCAAAGGGACCATATAATGACATTAGTCCCTTTCATATCTTTCAGAGAGCCACAACTCAAATACATGTACATGTATATATACATGTACTTTTCTCGGAATTGACTCAAACTTTATTCTACATAGGACATACATGCATGCAAGAATACATGTACTGTACATGCAGTAAAAAATTGTCAGAAAATACAATCTATGAGAGATGCCATTGCTATATTTAAGGCCACACAGAGGTTAACATATAAGACCCAGCTGCCACCTTCTATCAATCTGATGGACACATATGCACATGTGTGTCTAATCACAAGAGTTAACACATGCCTCGAGTGTATTATCAAGTATAGAAAGCATATAAAGGAGGAACACACACAAACCATGGAACCAGCTGCCACCAATGGGCCAGTGAGCTAATCCTATAACTACCCATCAGAGTGACAGAGGGGATTACATTAGGGGGATATAAAAAGCATATAATGCAATACTGGGAATACACGTATATGTATACAGGCATTAAAGTACATGTATTATGTATTAAAGTACATGTATTATGTATTAAAGTACATGTATATGTATTAAAATTAAATTAAAGTACCATAGAGTAGTGAGACATTGGTTAGAGATGAGGTTGAAAGTACACAAAAAAATCAAAGAGCAGAGAGCCTTTGTGTAGGTCAACACTAGGCAATATTATAGTACAGTGTGTGTGTATGTACACATGATAATAAAATAATAATAAAATAAATAAATAATAATCAGGATATTTCTTATGGTTCACGACACACCCGAGACCATGCGTTGCCAGGGGCATTGTCGTGGCAACACAGACAAGTGGAGAGGATTAATGGATAGCAAATATTATTAACATTTTAAAAATTGTATTTAAGACATGAACAAGATGTATTTGATATCACACTCATCATTGTTAGATCTAGAAAAAAAATTGTGAGACCAATTTAACTAAAAATGGCAGACTTAAGGAGACATAGGCTAAATATTACAGATACAAAAAGCTGAAAAATTTGGGGGATTTTAGGAGACCCGTACCAAAGCCTCCTGAGATCATCAAAAATCAAACATGATAGCTATTCTAAAAAGGAATAGGAGACTCAATGGAAACAGAATTATATCAGAAAAAGGCATAAGGCCCATAATGAATCAATAAAAATGTATCATCATCATCATTATTATTAATACTATATCATCATCATTATTATTAATACTATATCTTTGTTATTATTAATAATACTGCATATTCATTATTATTATTATTACTTGTCTAAACATATAGCTGATGAGCGGTTCGTCCAGTGTTGGTCCTCCTTCAATGAATGTGAACAGGTCTATACCGTCACCATGCTTCTCCATCACTAGCTGGAAATAATGAACATTCTCATACGCTTCTAGTAACTACAGAAAGAAAGAGGGAAAGAAAAATATTATTATTTATTTTACTTGTCTTTTTGTAACTTACAGGTACATAGTGCCCCATACATCATGCAAAATAAGTCTATCATACATGTACATGTACATGCGACCTAATGAGGACACTTTATAAAGAGGATATTTTGTGTTGTCCCAATTGGTTATAAAAGTGCCTGTATTATTAACTATTAAGGACAGGTAGTGTGGGCCCAATGGTGTCCTTAATAAAGTTGTTTTACTTATTACATACATTTAATACAATACGCAATGTACCTGTACAACATTAGGATGAGAGAGTTCTGCCAGTACACATATTTCTAAAGGAACCAACCCCATCACTTCATGCTTGACCCAGTGCTCTGGTATCACCGTCGCTTTACAAATAAATTTGACTACGACCTAAGAAAGAGAGAGGGGGAGAGAGAGAAAAGGATAAAATTTAAAGTCAATTAATGTACAGCAAATAGGCAAAACACTTAAGGATGCTGGCACGTAGCAGCGACCTGGTGTACAAATACATAAAAGAAACAAGACAACACCTGGCGAGGAATACAATCAGGATTCACTTCACATTGTACTGTGGATAAGACACAATACACATAGACTCATATGTACATAAAAGCATCTACATCTACATGTATATGCATGTACATGTACCAGTGGTTGCATGTATTGTGCGTGTACATGTACATGCATGTGCACGCAAATTAATTTCATTACCATGATACTACCACAGACAATATGAGCATACAGACATACATATGTACATGTACATGCACCACACACACACATGCAATAAATCAACAGAAAATAATATTAAATACAATACACACGTGATCACGCCCCAACCAGCCATACAAAAGGACACTATCAGTTAATACAGGCAACCAGTTACATAAAGGCGTATATAAACGTGTATAAAGCCCAGTTAAAGTATGGGAGTATTGCACTACTCTCTGAGAGGATGGTCAGAGAGGTAAACCTCATTGTACATCCCTAGGGATAAGGAGGATTCAATAATACGTGTATAAGAGTACAGTATCAATGGGGAACACACATCCTGACCACACCAATAATGAGCACAAAGCTAAGCCTCACAAGTGGCCATTAATCTTATTATATTAATTAAGAGAGAGCTGAGACTGGGTAAACAACAATATGTCACTGTTGTTACTGTTGTTGCTTTAATGGGAGCTCCCTATCAAAACATTAAAGATGCATGTACATGTACATGTCCTTATACCACAGGGCGACTTTCTTTCAAGGGCTGTAAATTTCGCAGATTTCTTCAAGATTTGCGAAAATTACTTCTGCGAAAATCAAATCAATACAGTACAAGATGGCGGACAGCATAAATTGGCAAAAATTAAATCCGCAAAATTAAAATCCGGGAAAACTATAGCCCTCGAAAAAAAGGCGCCCTACAGTAATTTACATATAAATATACATACATGTATATAAAATTTAATTTTTATTTCGATGCACTCTGGCAGCCCCTAATTAACTGATCAGGCCAGCCTGATGACTGCTTTTTTACAGAATTAATAAAAATTTATGTAAGAAGAGGAACAATTAAGGCCCAACAGTATGACAAAGGATAAATGCAAATACATGTACAATGTGATATAGCTCAAATTACCTGTCCTATTGCTCTTCGATAAAATTCATTTAAAAATAATAACGGGTAAACAAAAACACACACAACCTCAGAGCAGGTGCTAATAATGAAATAAAGTGTGGTCAGTCCGTCAATTAGTCGGTGGTTGATGGTTCATTTTACCCGAATACATGCAGCCAGGGAGGACTTTCTGTTAATTAGTGACGAAACCACATTCACAATAATCGCATTATCTTATAACCAAAACAAGGCAATAAAGGGCCTGTGCATTAATAATAAAACTGATAGACCATTCTACAGCATTGGGAACAACAAGTGCTTTATATTGTGTCTGATATCTGCCGTATACACTTATACTCAATTTTATATACAACACATGTACATTGTAAGTGTTATTATTATTATTGTTGTTGTTGTAAATTCATTAAGGAGCTTGCTGTAAAAGTTTGACACTATTACTGTTATCATTATATTATGTATTACTATTATTATTATTATCATTATTATTCATTACCAATGTCCCGTTGTCTCTTTTCGAAGCAAGTTTCACGAATCCAAAGGCTCCGCGACCAAGGGATCGTAGGGTCTCATAATTTGCATCATACTCCCCGGAACGAGCAGCATGATCCTCCTGCTGCTCTGAAGCAAAGTCTGGAGAAAACTGAGAGAGAGAGAGAGAGAGAGAGAGGGATTAGAAAATAATAATAAAATAATAAGTTTATGGTTTATGTAAGTACGTAGCGTAATTAAATTAAGAGTGTGTGTGTGTGTGTGTGTGTGTGTGGGTGATGGTGAGGCTAGAGTCTCAGTTATTCAGCTGTATGTTACCCCCAAAGCTAATAAAGGCCCAGTGGGCTATTAGAGGCATTGGACCATTACTGATATTGCATGATGTTATATAATGTCTGCGGGACAAAGCATTAGCAGGTGAGAGGTAGGGTGAGAGAGGTAGGGATTCATATCAAACCGCAGTCAATACCCAGACAAATTGGGACAAACCAATGCATTAGGATCATGTAACGGAATGTGGCGTTTCCGTGGAAACATATTGTAGTGTGTAACCATAGTAACGGAGGTAATTATAGTATTAAGAGCTAAGAGAGAAGGAGAGAGAGAGAAAGAGGGAGAGAGAGAGAGAGAGAGGAAGAACTGGAGGATTGCTAGAAAATAATATCAGCCTCCTTAGCTGATACATGTACATGTACAGTAGTACAGACATTGTATATGTATACCGGACTTTATTACATGTACATGTACATACATGTATGCATGCAAGATAGTAAAGTATGATCACAGTTGTGTTAAGTTTAAACTCACCCTTCCGGTTGGATCAGGTGTAGTACGAGAGAAATCAGTGGCCCTGACACACTGTGATTCGTGATCGTGTGACAGCCAGATACAATGTAAGATGTCATCCTCTCCTAGCATTATCTGCTTCAACTAATAGAAGGAGAAATACATGTACATGTACATGTAATAGAGAGGACAATGGAAGAATACAAAAATTATAAAATTGACAATCTCCGTAGAAAGTTTGAGCTAATTCCAAGCTCAAATCCTAGAGTTACAAGCACTTTTTAAAAATGCCCAAATTTTGAAAAGTACCCAAGGCTATAGCCCATGGTTTTTTTCCAAAAATGGCTCCAAAATCACCCCAAATTTTTATTACATTTTCTGATACATATTGATGTACTTATGCTGTATAAAAAGTTTGAGCTGATTCCGAGCTCAAATTCTGAAATTATGAGCACTTTAAAAAACAAGCAAATCTTGAAAAAAAGCATGAACAATATTACTAACAACTACGTATAATGTATTTTTAATACCTGGAATACAATAGGTATCAATGATCCGTCTTTATGCTTAGCAGAGCCAGTGAATACTCCCTCAAAAACAGATGCAGTTGAACTGAGACGACTCACGGGCCTAGAGCCACAATAGAGAGGAGTTGAAATAGCCGAGGGCTGCTGGAGACTCCGATCAAAAACTCCAACTTCTACCGATTTCTTAGGAGTACCATGCTGTATGGTAATCTGTGGCATTGTCTCACTATTGGAACCAGAATCAGTAATATTATGAGACCCGGAATTAGCAACTGTGGCAGTTTGAGACTGAGTACTACATGTGCATGTATCAGTAAGGGTATCAGATTGGGAAGCATGGGCATCAGACTGGGTGGTATGAGTTTCAAATTGAGAAGTACGGGAATCAAACTGAGAATCGTGAGTACAAGACTGAGCGATATGGGTATCAGGCTCAGTGGTACGGGTATCAGATCCTAAACTTGAGATCTCAAGCCCGGTACCAGGCTCTGGTCGTCCAATTAAAAGTGATTCTAGTTTTAATGAGACAATGCAAGCATCAGAATCCTCCTCTTCTGGTTTCAGATCCAAAGTCTGAGATATTTCGGAACTACCTTGCTCCGAAGACACTTGCACATGTGCGTCAGTGACAGAACAAGTTTCATTACTAATGACAACTACTTTCTCGTTTTCTTTCTCACCCTCTCTCTCTTCCTTTCTCTCTCTGATCTCTCCTTCCTCTGAACTTGACGATGAATAATTATAAATCTGTTCACCGATTGAAACGGCGCCAGGCAGGAACTGTATGACCACACCCGCTTCCTTTGTCCCCTCATCCTCTTCGAGGAACACGTCTTCCGATATGCTTGGGAGATGCGTTGGATCAAAGTTGCAATCCAGCGAGACCGTCTTCTCGGAGACTGATGGGAATACAATGTTGCTGTCGTCGTCATCTTCGTCGGAGAGAAGAGGATCAGATGAAATATCCTGAGGATGATTGACGCCAAACTGAGAGTAGAAGTCAGGGATTAGGGTACTTATGTCCTACAAGACAGAGAAGAGAAAGAGAGATAAGAATGCAAAATATTCATGTCCTTATGCGAAAGTACGATATGATTCTGATACCAAAATCTTAAGCTACAAGTTTCGGCTAAAAAATAATTCATATTAAGGCTGAAACAAATAGTGAGATATTCGAATAATTCATTCGTTATAGCAATATTCGAATAGTTTTTTTGCTATTCGAACTATTCGCATAACAAAATTATTAATGGTTATTGCAACAATTAATGGCCATGCCCACCGTGTGTCACCTGCACAGGCTCCTTTCTTAGTCTGTTTCTTAGTCTATTTACTTACCAACTTGCTAAATACATGTACTGATGCTGTGGCCAGGGAAAGTGGTTCTCAATCTCCAAGAAGCCCTAGCTGTTTGGCATCATTTTGAAAGATTCACACCAAAAAGGTAGTTTATAATCATTCAGCAATAACAATCGAATTATTCGAATATTCGTTCATTTAGCATATGCCAAATTGCCAATTGTTCGAATAGTGAAAATACTATTCGTTTCAGCCCTAATTCATATCAGCTCAAATTAATGTTGATCACTGTATCAACATCACATAAAAAAAAACTCCAATGCTCATTTTCGAATGTAATGATGTACATACATGCATGTACATGTACATGTACATGTACACCATGCATAAATGTATTTGTAAATCTCTAACCTTTCCCACTAGCTCCTCTTGAGTATATCCCAACAGCATTAACATAAAATGATGATTGCAGCCGTGAATAGCTCCAGTAGGAAAGAAGCTAATCATACCACTCAAAGACGCATACACTGTCACGTTACCCTCCATCAACTGCGAGGGGGAGGGGCTAGCCATGCCTCCTCCTTCCCTGCCTACTACCTCCACCCATTTTGAGTCCTCTGACTTCACATGTACATGTCTAACGGTTAAAGGTGATTGGGGATATTTAGTAAACTGGACGGTGAGCGGGAAGGGGGTGTCGTCCTTAGTACGACCAGTTAATGACTGGCACTGAAAGCCTTGAACCTGGGAGAGAAAGAAGAGAAGAGAGAGAGAGTTAGAAATAATAGAATATTTTCTAGTTTAATTCTTACTTTTCTCTGATCTTCCTTTTCTTTGGGGGGGAGGACTACAAGAGGTATAAGAGATGAGAGGGGCTTGTTGATGATGTCTCTCACATCATCATGACCAAATAAGGTAGCAAAGGAAGGATCACATGAAACTAATGAACCCTAACATGATAAATAGGTAAAATCAAGGATCAATGATTATAGTGAAGTGGATCAATTAATGATCAATATCAGTATAAAATCATTGAATCAATGATCAAAATCAGTGGATCACTGATCAGAATCAATGGATCAATGATCAGAATCAGTGAATCAATGACTAGAATCAGTAAATCAATAATCAGAATCAGTGAAGTAATGATCAGAATCAGTGAATCAATGATGATCAATATCAGTATAAAATCAGTAAATCAATGATCAGAATCAGCAGATCAATGATCAGAATCAGTGAATCAAGAATCTAATAAAATACACAGCATGCTTACCTCTGAGTTGATGGTGAAATGAGCTGAGCACCTCTCTACTGGCTCTATGACAACAATAACCCGAGGACTGTCGCCAGAGGAAACCTTCTTCATCCACACAGATACTGGGAAGTTGAACCCACTGGACGAAACAGCATCCATCTTGAGAGAAAGAGAATGATAATAATTCTGTCAGTTCATCTTTTATTGTTAACACTTTTTCCATGGTTTATCAACACTCCTCTCTCGTATTTCCAATTGTAAAAGTGTAGATATTATAATAACAACAAACAATTATAATACTATTTAATACTTAAGAGGCTACACTTACAGTGTACATGCAATGTACATCTACATGTGTTACTCTTACTTTTCATATAATAATGCATTTTGTACATGTATGCATCTACTGTTTCTAGAGGGAGTTTAGGAGACTTTTGGTCTCCTATATTTGGCCTAGGTCTCCTGAAATCTCCCATTTCTCAGGTTTTAGTCTCTCATATTTAGCCTAAATCTCCCAAAATATATTTCTAGCTCTACGTGTAAGAATGAATGTACGTACCACTTTTCCACTGATAAGGACAGTCTCTCCTGACAATTTAATATTCTGTTCCACTAGTGCTCTTTGCTTGGACTGGTACGGCTCATCAAAAAGTTCCTCAATCTTCATCCCGACAAGCTTACTCTGCGGGTACTGAAAAAGCTGACCGGCGACTTTATTTGCAACAAGAATATGAGAAGTCGTAGCATTTATCGTAAGGAGAGCTTTATTCGGATTACGGACAGCAGTGGGGTAGAGGAATGAATTATCCTTGTCCTTGTTAGGGGAGGTAAGATAGGAAGCGTTGAGAGATGCGCTGAGCGAAAAGGCTGAGATAAAGGAGCTCCCACTTGCAGCATTCGTGAGATCAGGAAGGAGAGAGGAAGAGTGGCTATAGCTAAAACTTAATAAAGAGTCGCCTTTGAAGCGTTGGAAATCACTCGGGTCTGGAGTGAGGCGGGGCCTGGATTTAAAATCAAGTGATGAAACCTGATCGTCTCTCTCACCCTCCTGCTCCTCGTCTTCCTCAAGCATCCATGGTTCGGAAAATGGGCGGAGCGAGGGTTGGAATTTTGTGAGTGGGCGTATCTGATCGAGGGGAGATAGGGGAGGTTCCCTTTGTGCATACCAGCTTGTAAGACTAGGGGACTCACTGGGGCCAATCTCATTCGTCGACACTAGCGATAAGTTAGGTGGGTGGGATTTCTTCTCTGAAGAATATTCCTAAAAATGCAATAGAGATTAGGGTCTAAGGGTATCATAGAATCACTTGTTGCTTGTAGATTGGTAGCTGCTTTGGTGCAGGGAGACTGCTACCCAGACGAGCCTGAGATGTTAAAGGGCTTGTTTCAGGGCAGATGGCAGCCATCAGGTCTGCTAAAAGTAAGAGAAGGAGCTACAATAATAAGTTATCAGCTAAGAGTTCACTACCTATGCTTTGTTTGTATGAGAGATTTTGCCCGCCTTCGCACCAACCCAGTCACGTGATCTTGACTTTGAATCTACGGAAGAAAACAAATTTCCGTAGATAATGAACTGCAAATAAGTTTACGGAATAAATTTCCGTAAAATAACTAATCAACTGCGCATGCGCAATAGTAGACCCAAATTTTAAAAATGGGTGGGGAAAGAGGCGGGGATTTGTTCATACCATAACAATATCACGTGACCTCCATGTGTACTGTGACTAAAATCAGTAAAAATTGAGTCAAAATTCTCCTTTTTAAAATAGCAGTACAGTAGTTTTAAATGCCTGGTAGAGGTAGAGGTAGAGGAGTAAAGGGGCCTGTCCCTAACCAGCCAGTTTTGTCAGAGAAACAAAGAGAATTATTACAATCTGACAAGCCACCACCACAACAACCAGTTGAGGATCAGTTTGAAGACCCTCCGACTAAAGACAGTGTCAACGAAGAAGAGACTAGTAAGCCATCATCTCTCATTTCTTCAGAAGAAACCGTATCTCCTTCAACACAGAATGGAACTGACGACAAAACCCAGGATAATGAAACGCAAGACGAAAATAAGACAGAAAACAGCGACAATCCTAAAACTGAGCCCGTTAATACATCTAACATGACCACACCTACCAAAACCACGCCTACTGAGACCACACCCAATGATGTGACACCTTCTAAAAGTCCGTCTAAACCGTTGAATGTTAACGCTCCTGTGTTTGTCCCGATATCCCTTGAACAGCCCAGCGTAGGGGGCGGGGCTAGTCTTGAATTCCCCGGCCCTTTAATTACGGAGCTAACGCCAGAGGATATTTTGAATCGGTTTCCTCACAAGAGCTCTGGGGATGTTCCCCTCCTACTCACGGCAGCGACAATGTTGCTTGACGCGTCCCATCATCCGGCGACCTTTGACACTCACCTCTCAATACTCTGTCACTTAATAGAGAAGACCACGCCCACCAGCGATATACTTGATGACTTGGTTGAGATGCTTGTTTTCTGGGTATGTTGATTCCACAATACATTATACATACATGTATATGGGGAAGTAGATTTTCTATAAAATGCATCTTTTTCTGCTAATTTTGGTATTATGAATGACTAAAGGCCTTTCTACACTAGCACTTATAATGGGCATTGAACTGGTTTGATATGGTTTGAATGGCCATTCAATAGATAACCAATGGCAGCTGGATCAGAAATACTATCAAAATATACAAGATCCTGAAGATAGTGTGGAATCACTTGATGCCCATTGAATGAGTATCAGTTCTAAACCAGTTCAAACCTCATTGCAAGTGTAGAAAGGCCTTAAGTTATATTTTCCTTCATCCCTCCATTGGATTTACATTACATGTACATATGTATTTTACATGTACGTTTTACATGTACATTTCTCCAGGGCATTGGTGACAGTACGTTAAGGTACACGTCCATCAGAATGAATGACTATCTCTGCAAGTTCTCAATCAAGGATTTATTCCGTCCCAAGCTATTCACAAAGTAGGCGTGATTATAGAGAGCGAGGAACCATGCCACTTTTTTGTTAGGTTACAGTCGAGATATTTAAATCAAACGGCAAAGAAATACACAGCCGGTGATGATATGTCTGAACTGATAGAGACTACACTGTACATTGCTGAGATGTTTTATCGAGTGAGACTAGCCAATGATCAGGTATCTTATGACTATTCTCAGTATTCTGTAATTAATTTGGTGATTATAAACCATTTCTTTTTATTATTTTTTAAGGTACTCATGTCTATGTATTTCTTATAAAAAATTTTCTTCATTGCATATTAAAATTTGCTTCATTACTTACAAAATTTTGCTGCATTACTTATTTAATTTTTCTTTATTTTCAAAGGTGGTGTGGGTTTTGGGTTCAGCGGCCCTAGAGCTCGTGTTTAAGCTCTTGGATATCAAAACAAACGAAACAGTCATCAAAGCTTGTAATGTTGTCAAGGTAATGATTTTTCACAAGCGGTCATCGATTTTCCTTTTCTTTTTTTATTTAGTTAATAGGGTACTTGTTGAGTTACAAAACTCCAAGAGTTAAAGAGTTTGACCCTGTCGTTAAATTAGACGCTGCTCTTACTATACTCAGACTTCATTCAGTAGATGAGGCCCTAAGGTACATGTACATGTATGCGTAGTGTAAGGGTTTCCTACAAAGCATGCAAAGTGAACTAAGCTGTATGAGCTACAATACATCACATGGCATTTGGAGCAGCTTTAAAAAATTGTAAAAAAATCCAAACTTGATCGGAATCAGTTCAAACTTTCTACACAACATAAGAACATGTATATGTATCAGAAAAAAATTATAAAAATGGAGAATTCTCTCCTATTCATTTTTGGCAAAATTTGGCCAAAGACCCTGTACTAAAAAATTAAAAAAACAAGATGAAGTAGGATTCCGAACGACCAACGAAAATACGAAATGAAAATCCTACTCGTGACGCAAATTCAATTCTACATTGTACTTTTAATATTATCATGTAAGAATTACGGATCACCTTGCAATGTAGAGTAGAATTTGCGTCACGAGTAGGATTTTCATTTCGTATTTTCGTTGGTCGTTCGGAATCCTACTTTCATCTTGTTTTTTTAATTTTTTTATGTTCTTGTTTGTGTTGATTTTTTTATAATATTTCGTATTTTCGTTGGTCGTTTGGAATCCTACTTCATCTTTTTTAATAAATTTTTTATGTTCTTGTTTGTGTTGATTTTTAAAATAATATTTATAGTATTTCTTTAGTTGCAATTGTGATACTTGTTGATTTTACACAAACAATAATTTTCTTTATTATTATCATTGTTATAACATTTATGAGAGACAGCATCAAATAGACATGCTGAAGGAATTAGTCTTGACACAAGTCCTTGTTCAAGAACCTGTGAGCTAAGAGTGTCTATCTTCCCTGCTATTCCTGTTCTTCCAGGCTGTTGTCAAGTTCATAATTATCATTGCATATCATAAGTCATAACATTAATTAATTGTTTGTTTTTTTAAATAAAATAAAATAACACACTTGATAAAACAGTAACATGTAAAATCAATACCTTCTTTTAGCTGGAAACCTCCACTAAAGTATTGCAGTAAGTTGATTCCAAGCATAGCCTTCCAGAGCTGCAGATCTGAGCATGCGCGACCACACCCAAATTTTGGAGCACATGGCAAGCTTCTTTAATTAACAAAATGGCGGCATGCAGCTAAGATGGCTCGATCCAGCAGTCACAGTATCACTTTTTCCTCACTTGAAGAATGATCTGATGGGACATGGACCTGCGCATAGACTGTTGGAGTAGATTGGTGTAAGAATAATCCTTGTAGCACCAACCAATACTGAGATACACACCGACAACTGGATTGACAGGACTTCTGACTTGATGATGATGATGAAGATGAAAAAAGGTGGCTGAACAAAACGGCCGGTTCGCCGATTTTTGGATTTTCTCTTAGATAAGGTCCAGAGCCACGCTAGTGGTACCAATGGAGTCCTCTGGTCAAGATGAGGTCCTCTAAGAAGTCTGGTAAGCATAGGAGCTCCTTTTCCCGGTATAGCAAGGCTGCAAAAGTCTTGGCAGCCATTTTGTTTGGGGGTGAATCCTACTTAGTAACGCTACCGCGTTACTAATAGTACAGGGACTTTGGCCTGATTTTTTAGTAACTTAATAATCCACTGACAATAACCTGCACGAGCACTATACCAAAATCCTATGGGAAACCCTCGTACACGTACTTACCCATACTCCCTGTATTACATTCTTATTCATTGCAACAGTTCTCATACTTCGACTGTCATTCTAAGCGTCATGACTCTTAGTGGAGTCCGATGGGGACAAGGAGACAGTCCTTTTGGCAAGCCCAAAGTGATACAAGCCAGAAATTTTTACTAATCATGTGACTGTTGTGTGATGTAGGGTGTGGTCCCAGACGAGCCAGTATCTAATATTGAAGAATGGGAGGAGTATCTTGACGACAGCGGACATGTCATTGAAGGGGAGGACTATAATGAGCCAACAGTGTAAGAAATGGGGCGATCTGTTTATATTATTAAAGTGTTTGTGGCTACTTCAGTCTTGTAAGCAAGGTGTTGCCAAGAATAAAACAGGCTTACAGCAACCATAAATGTTCCTAGTAGCGTGTTATGGGCCTGCCCCAGCAAACATAATTTTTATTATTGATTTATAAGGACTTATTGATTCATTATTATCTTTGTTAGAAGATTTGATGCCATAAGCAATTCTTGACTTTAGTTATTGAATATTTTAATTTATGAAAATATACTGTATATGCAATACCAATCATGGTGGATCTAACCAATACAATATAAACTGTGATGATTTCTCTCTCTTTCCCTCAGTTTTATTGGTGATCAGTCCGATCCTAACATTGATGAAGAGTTGATGAGGGAATATGAGGACTTTGTTCAGGACTTTGAAGAGCATTTGATGATGCAAGAGTTTGGCCAGTCATGATGAATCAGGAGACATAAAACACAAACAAGTACTGGATCATTGAACACCATCGTTGCTCTATTGTTTCATATTGTTATACATACGTAATTAAGTTTTTTAATCAATATTCAGATACACTTAAACTTGGGACAATCCTTTTGAAAATATGTTGATACTTCTGTCCAGGTTCCTGTACTGCATGGTATGGGTCTGGGGCTGGATTAAGAAAGGCCTCCTTCTTTCTACTGTTACCTTAAAATCACAAATGAAATGCTAATGTGTTATTAATGTGAATGCTTACTTCGCCATGTACATCCCTTGAGTATCCTGTCTTTAGTCCATTAGTGTGAAGGTGTAGGTGTGATTGGTGGGTTAGGTAAGTTAGCAGGAGTCTCTCTTCTTCATCTTCAACATCATCATCATGATGAGTTCTTAATATCAGAGAGGACAACTGAAAGAGAGAGAGGGACTCAGTTGTAATAATTATTAGCATCCACCAATTGACTTCTTTATAATCTCTCTCTTTCTCTCCATCTTGTAATGCTGCATGATTCTTCTTACTGCTTTAGTTTGAAGAAGATTAATCAAATATTTGACAAATATCAGTAAGTCCTTAATGCTGATTCCAATGCTTAGCAACACACTAATGTCATCTATGATCAAGCAAGATGGCTTCCCTGCTGATGAAGTTGTGATTAACTTCTTAATTAGCTCATACAACTCTTGTACCGATCTGCAACAATGGAAATTAAAAAAAGAAGTCAGTATACAATGATCTTTACCTTTCCACATAGCAGCAAAATGATGATTGATCTGTCATAGTATCTGTGCTATCTAAAGGTCCAGATACTTCAGTTTGTTTTGCTTGAGTTGCAACGTCAGTGTCAGTAGAATAAGACGAGATCTTTACAAATTTAAAGCAACTACAACTTGCCCTCAAATTGACGCTCTATCGCAATAGTACATTTTAATAATAACCTACCAGGACATTCGCTTGCTTACAAATTTTGATGCTACTGCTGCATAATGATCAAAGGATTGATTAACTGATACTAGGCATACAGTATAATCATCTAAAAACAATAATGTCTTTTAATCACAATAATTGTTCTATTTTTTTACCTTTTATTGATTGTGATATGAAATAGTGCAAGAAGTAGTCTGAAGGACTTTGATCATCTGATATTAATATGAACTGACCCTGTGGCAATAAAATGCATTCATTATTCTAATATATATAATTATTATTTACCAAAAAATCATCTTTGTCTTTCCTATCAAGAAGAGCATCCATTATCTAATAGTCAATTAACTTAGTGTCACGTGACCATATTAAGCATGTAAACGAAGTTGACAGGTGCTGCATAAAATTTATGAACTTTTCAGTTTTCAAGTTTTCATATTCGCTTCATCTTTCATCTGTCGCTTGTTAGCCTGTTTGAGGCTGTTCCTGCTCGAAGAGTGAAGTGGTCTATCTCTCCTTCGTTTGTAGAGAGAACCTCTTGGGTGTATACCGTGGCTATTTAAACCACCGAGTAGACTCTAGTTTGCTGACTCTTCCAGGTATAAGAAGAATGGAGCCTCCCGTAGATCCGGAGGAGCTAATATCTTGCCCGTACGAGCCAGTACATATGTTTAGGAGTAAAAGGCTCATCTATCATTTAGAAAAATGTAGAAAAGTGAGTTTAATAGAGAGAAGTGCTAATCATTCACAACTTAGAGCATTCCTTTATATATCTTATGCCTATAACATAATGTGTCTATTATGTCTAAGTGCTATCCAGTATAATATCATAGTCTTGCTTTACTATAGAATCATCCAACATCAGAGTTCAAAAAGTGTGATTTTAATGCAAGTCACATCGTTCCTGCACCAGAGATAGCATTTCATTTATCAATTTGTCCGGATAGGGTAGGTCGGATATTAAAGAGGTTATTTTTTTATTTCTACTTTTCGTTAAAAGGGAAGGTTGGAGCTAGAGGTCTTCCATGGTAAGCAATGTCACTTGATGTCATTGTTAAGGCAGATTTACAATATTACGCTAGTCCTGACGTTACGTTGACGCTGGAATAAAATCTGGTTCTATTCTAGCGGAAAGTACATGTATGTCTCAAAAGATCAAATCTCCCACGCTTTTGATTAAAATTTGACGGCACACTGGCCTAACTTCGTATTGTAAACCAGCCTTAATAGGTCTAGTTTTTGTTCTGTGATTTTATTACCAGCCTTAATAGGTCTAATTTTTGTTCTGTGATTTTATTACCAGCCTTAATAGGTCTAATTTTTGTTCTGTGATTTTATTTCTCAATAGAATAGCATAATTAGTTTGTTTCATTAGTTTTTCTTATTCTTCTAGTAGTAAAAATAGACTTACTAGCACGTGTGATTACGTGTAAAAGATATGTACATGACATGTATCTTTTTTATTATTATTTTTAATAAATACCTGTAGTTATTTATTGTAATTATACATTATATTAACATGCAGAGAATCATCAGTACAAGCAGAAAGGAGACACAAGTTTGCCACAGTGCGACTGGACTCCACCAGAAGCCAGTGAGAGCTGGGATGGCGACAGTAAGAACCAAGTATATTTTTAGTAACAGTGCTATTTTTAGTAACGCAGATGTCAGATTTGAGCCGAAAGTAAACGAGCAACTTTTTGAAGAGGAAGCTGCTAAGATAAAACCTTCGCAGGCTAAACCAAGGTTCCATTATTCATTGTCATTTTAAGTTGTAATTGTTTATTTAACATTAAAGCAAAAAGCCACCTTCTCCTGAAAAATGGAGAATGCCTCATTCACTGCCGATGACTGGACCAATAAGGACAAGTGGTGGGCGGGGGAGAGGGCGTGGCATCACAAGTGAGTCTTTGTCAATGAATGCGAGATATTAATGCTTTGTTTCTTGCCTAGAAAAATTGGCAGAGGCAAAACCTGGCCCGTCTGGCTTACAAAAGAATAGAGGTGCCTCGGCTGATGTTGCAGAGCAGTCTTCACTACCTTCTGGTTTGGGAAAATCTCATTCTGGTTCCCTTTCTCAAGGACAGCCTCATCCCGTCTCTCTTTTGTCTCATGAGCTGGAGCAGTCTTCCCTTTCCGGAGAACCTGATTCTAGCTCTTTTTCCCTTTCTCAAGGGCAGCCACACTCTGCCAGCTCACACGTGATGGGTCCATCTTCCCTTCCTCCTGGCCTGGGACAAGTTGGTTCTGTCATGAGTCAGTCTTCCCTTTCACAAGTCCAGCCTCAACCTTTGGGGCAGTCTCCTGGTCTGGGACAACCTTACTCTGGCTCTAGATTGAATTTCATGGGACATTCTTCCCTTTCTCAAGTACATCCTCAAACTGGTGGGCAGTCTTCTCTTCCTCCTGGTATGGGACAGCCTTATTCTGGTTCTAGTGTGAATTTCATGGGACGGTCTTCCCTTTCTCAAGTACATCCTCAAACTGGACAGTCTTCCCTTTCTCAAGTACATCCTCAAACTGGTGGACAGTCTTCTCTTCCTCCTGGTCTGGGACAACCTCATTCTGGTTCCAGTGTGAATTTAATGGGACAGTCTTCCCTTTCTCAAGTACATCCTCAAACTGGACAGTCTTCCCTTTCTCAAGTACATCCTCAAACTGGTGGGCAGTCTTCCCTTCCTCCTGGTGGTATGGGACAACCTCATTCTGGTTCTAGTGTGAATTTGATGGGACAGTCTTCTTTTTCTCATCAATTTGTGGGGCAGTCTTCCCTTCCCCCTGGTATGGGACAACCTCACTCTGGCTCTAATGTCATGAGTCAGTCTTCCCTTCCTCCTGGCCTGGGGCACCCCAGCTTGTCCCAGCCTGTTTTTAATGCTTTTGGTACCAATGGACAACCAGTTGGTAGGGGATTGGCTCAACCACATATGTATCCAATGGCTCTGTCTCAGAATCCTTTTGTTCCAGCTAGTATGGGAAGAGGAAATGGCTATGGCCGTGGTATGTGTTTATTTCGCAAAGCATGGAGTGATAATACATTTATATGGCAAAGTATTATGATATCGTTAGCAAGTGTAGACATTAGATGATTTTATGTACATTAGACTAGTTGATGAGTAAACAAAACCAATGGCCTGTTAATAATAGTAATGTGACATTGATTGCAAATAAATTTGGCATGAATTTATTCACTTTTAATACATTTTTAAATGTACTTTACTACATGTAAGTCCACTTATTCTATATAGAAAGTTTGAGCTAATTTCTTTATAACTAATTTATTTTTATGTTTTATTTCATTTCTAGGTGCTCTCTGCTTTGGAAGAGGTACATTGTGATTATACTAATTCAATTCCCATGTATTTCTAGGTAAGATACCCCTCCCAACCAGCACAACCACTGTTAATGGCAGTGCCTTGAATGGAGTTTTGCAAGCAACTCCTAATGGAGCCACAAACCTCAAGTCTGCAGGTGTGAATTATATTATATGTACATGTATTTATGTTTTATTTCTAGGTATAAATAATGCCCAATCTTCTCCTCCTGCTCCTAATCCTTCAGTGGAAGAAATGGTATGTGAGTTTGTGTGTTCATTAGTACTTATAGTTGTACTGTATGTTGTCAAAAGGAGAAAAAAGAACAGAATGAGGAGGAGATAATGAAAAGAAAGAATATTAGGAAATTGAAGAAAGCCCTTCGTCAGGTACGTTAGCAAGAAGGAAGGATGGCTCAAGATGTGTCTTAAATGATACTTTGATACATGTACATGTAGAAACACTTACAGTAGATGATAGTAATAATAATGGTAGTAAAGTAATACTTAAATGATGCACTTGGATGATAGTAAAATGATAGTTAACTTAATGATACTTGATACTTAAAATTAATGATACTTAAATGAGACTCAAGTACTCTGTAGTTGGGTTCTGTCCTATGGAACTACAGAGGAACATATTATATGAATGTAATACAGTAGCTTCTAAAAGTTTTGTGTAGAACTTGGTTACAAGCATTCTATGGTGAGTTCTATTATCCTATGGAACTAGAAGGGAACATTCTGAAAGTTATCTCGCATTATGGTTTTGTTTTTCTTTATATACGTGTAATAGGTTGAAGAGCTTGAATTGAAGCAGAAATCAGGAGTAATTCTGACACCTGAACAAGTAATGGGAATGCTATTATTAATAGTTATCTTGATTGACTTATTTGTTACTACTATTGTTATAATAATAATTATTATGATAGTCCCTTTCTCTTGTTTCACTCTTTCCCTAGTTTGTTAAACTTAACCGTAAAGCTGACTTGCTGTCAAAGTTACGTGAAGTAGAAACTGATGAGGTGGAATGAATTACCCTATGACTCATCCTTCCATTTATCCTACCATCCATTTAATCACATAGTTATGCTGTTGTAGCATTTAGACCAACAGCTCTTTTTGTGTTTTTTATTTATCTCAAAATCATGATTGTAATTTTTTTTAGATTTGTTATTATTTTGTATTAAAATGTTGATTATTATTTTATTGTCGATTTTGTATTTTATAGTTGTTGATTATTATTTTGATTGTTGATTTTAATGAATTCTTTTTCCCGATCTTCCAAATCCTTGTGAGAATTTCCTTGCTCCTTTTACAGCATCTTTTATTAATCCCTCAGCAGTTTCATATTCAAATTTCAAATTGTTTGCTTGACCAAGTGATGCCTGCATGGCTGACTGTCTGTCATGCAGCAAGCAATCCTGAGGGAATGACGCAATTTGTTGAGCAAGTTTAAGAGCTTCTTCTAAACCTTTTCCAACTGGTACGATTTGATTTACTAGACCTAAAAAGCAACATTTAGTGACTTTGTAAAGAAATGAAATGTGTCTAATATTATTATCTTTTTTGCAAAAAGGCACGAACTTTTATCACGACTTGCCTATATCGTGAGCTTCCTTTGCAGCTACTTCTCTTACAGTTAGTATGAGATCAAGAGCTCTTGAGAGACCAATCAATGCTGGTAGTCTCACAGTCCCTCCATCAATCAATGGTACACCTACACAGCAAAAACTATTAGTTTTGCACGAGGAAATCTAGTTAGAATTTAAAGTTAGATTTCAGATTGAATTTTAAACTTTGATACCTCGAATTCTACATACCAAATCTTCTATTGAACATTCCTAGTATGACATTTGATTCAGCTATCCTTAAGTCACACCATAGAGCTAGCTCTAGTCCACCAGCCACTGCATAACCAGTCAAGCAAGCTATGACAGGTTTACTGAGACACAAACGAGTGGGCCCCTAGTAATTATGAATATTCATTTAATTTTATCATTATTTTACCATTGGTGCAGGGCTGGAGACTGAAAAAGGAGAAGACAAAGCTGGTGCCTCATCCTTTGAAGCTAATTCCTTTAAGTCATAGCCCGAGCAAAAGTTCCCACCATTTCCCGCCAATATACCCACAGAGAGAGCTGGGTTCTTTTCAAAGTCCTTGAATGCAGTGAATAGCTCTTTAGCTGTTGTATCGTTGACTGCATTCCTCACTGACGGTCTGTTTATTTCTATCAACCTCACCCTATCATAATCCACTGTTCTTATGTAGTTTGTACAGTAAAATCTGGCTCCAAAGAAACGAGCCATTTTATGAGACAACGAGCCACGCCTGGTTTGGGTGTGGCTCATTAAATTTAACCCTTGATACCTTCTTGTTTTCTAGGTTTCATTTCTTTCCCATTTCTTCCCCTGATTGTTGGTCTTATTCCAGTATGGTGTTTGCTTTTCTCTGTCACTCAATAGCTGCTACTCCAGTAAGACTCTTGTACTCTGCTGTGTACGGGGAAGATATGCAAACAGCACTGAAAGAGGTTAGGAATTATTATAATAATTATACTTTTGTAGATTTTTATTTAATTTGTGTTTCACCTTGTTGTGCAGAATGTCCCAGTGGAAGATTTTCGCATGACACGTAAAGAGCAATTGTTGCAAGTTAGTTAATAATATTAATATTATTATTATTATATTATCGTATTATTATTAATTATTTTATTTATTTACAGATTGCTTGTAGAGTACAGTCAGAGGTTGGATTCAGAAAAGGTGCTAAAGACCGTGTGCTAAAAGGATATGCAATTCGTGACGAATCTATTGATGGGTAATTCATGTAGTAGTATTTACATACTAATCATTGTTATTGATGTCCTTATGCTGTGTAGAAAGTTTGAGCTGATTTTGAGCTCAAATTTTGAAAAATACCCAAGGCTATAGCCCATGATTTTTTTCCAAAAAATGGCTCTGAAATCATCCCAAATTTTTATTACATTTCTGATACATATTGATGCCCTTATGCTGTGTAGCAAGTTTGAGCTGATTCCAACTTCAATTTTTCAAGTTACGGCCATTTTAAGAAAACATTAAAATTCTGAAAAGTACCCAAGGCTATAGCCCATGGTTTTTTCTGAAAAATGGCTCCGAAATCACCCCAAATTTTTATTACATTTTCTGATACATATTGATGCCCTTATGCTGTGTAGAAAGTTTGAGGTGATTCCGACTTCAATTTTTTGAGTTACGGCCATTTTAAGAAAACGTCAAAAATCCGAAAAATACCCAAGGCTATAGCCCATGGTTTTTTCCGAAAAATGGCTCCAAAATCACCCCAAATTTTTATTACATTTTCTGACACATATTGATGCCCTTATGCTGTGTAGAAAGTTTGAGGTGATTCCGACTTCAATTTTTTGAGTTACGGCCATTTTAAGAAAAAGCCAAAATTTTGAAAAATACCCAAGGCTATAGCCCATGGTTTTTTCCAAAAAATGGCTCCGAAATCACCCCAAATTTTTATTACATTTTCTGATACATATTGATGTCCTTATGCTGTGTAGCAAGTTTGAGTTGATTCCGAGCTCAAATTCTGGAGTTATGACCTTAAAAACTACATGTACATGATACTTAACAACACTGGTTAATTCAGCTCTAAAACATAATAACCTTATAATGATGATAGCTTTATTTATGTGTAGTCAATCATTCGAAAAAGGTTTGTTCAGATTGTCGACTGATGATCCTTTCCCTACACCAAAGACTGTCATTTGGCAAGTTTCTGACAAGTAAGTCAATTCTTTTACCTTTTACTAAAATTTACCCAGTTATATTCCTTTCTCTCTCTCTCCCTCATTCTCACATGCAGCTGTACCTTTGTGTTGGTTTGTGAACAAGATGAGAACAGGATATTAGCCGAAACAATACTCTCATTCATTGTACAGTATAGCCACGCTCACATAATGAATATGGATCAGAAAATGGCGGAAGTAAGGCCCTCCTTTTATCCATCATAATAATATTTATTATTATTAACTGCTTTATAGTTACTGCTCAAAGGTGAGTGGCTATCATCAGTGCTTCAGGTGATGCTAAACAATGGACAGTTGATGTTCATGAATAGCAAAGTGATTAAACAATTAGAGAAACAATTGGACGCTATTGTATTATCAAAATAACGACATCAAAAATAATATTATATTTATTGTTATTTTTATTGAACTTGCTGCACTTGCATTAATTGATAAATGAAAATAATATCAAAAGCACAATTATAACAATGATTCCTTTTGCTTATTTGACGCTCCAATTTCTCTTATTATATATAGTAATTTTATAATTTACTATCGTTGCAACTTTTACTACTAATAATGATAGTAATAATAATTGGATAATAAAATATGCCTAAAAATAAGATAATCCTATACTTTCTCAACCAGTGAGTCACAACCTCTCAATAACTAATGTTGATCTATTATTTATTATTATTATTATTCTATTTTGTGGAGATGGCATTCAGTAAGTCCTGCCACACTTTATCATTGATTTGGTTAGCATCTATACAGCGATGGAGACCCTGTTCTTTGTAGTACTCAACTAGAGGCTTCGTCTGAGTGTGATAAGACTCGAGTCTCTTCTTCAGAGTTTCTTCGTTATCATCCGATCGATGAATGAGATCTTCACCAGTGACCTACCATGAGGGACAAGATAAAAGTGCAAAAAAGTTTTAAAAGTTGCAAGCAAGACAAAAATAGGTATGAACAAACAAACAACCATAAAAAACCACGAGAGGATTTCAAGACAGAAAATTTCGAGGAAAATATTTGATACGAAAAAACGCGAAAAAAACAAAACTTGTACCCTCATAATTAATTGTTGGATTATGTAATTCTTACATCATCTTTCATCGGGACTTTGGGTGGAGCGTTAACTTTATGATACGTACGGCCACTTGGAACATGAAGGAGTCTAAAGAAAGAAATAGTTGAATTAAAATGTAATACATATCTCTTTCTCTCTCACCTTCCTGTTATACGGTCAATGAGTATTTGATCGTCTGTGACACAAAACTCAACAACAGCATTCAATTGTATGCCATTTTTCTTAAGCAGGTCAGTGAGCTAAAAGTACAGCAATTCAGTGATCATTATGAAAACGGTTGGTTGTACCATCTTTGCTTGTTCAATGGTCCTAGGGAAGCCATCAAGAAGAAAGCCATTCTTGCATTCAGGCTGCTTTAGTTTCTGATCTACCATCTCACATATAAGTCCATCGTCAACCAGCTGGAGGTCAAAGTTTAAATAATAATTATCAAATTAGCACAATCAACTGACCTTTCCAGCATCCATGACACCTTTAACTTTCTTCCCAAGCTCTGATCCAGAAGCAACAGTAGCTCTTAGCATATCCCCTGGAGAAGATGACGCTAGGGGCATTGCTGTACAAGACTTGCTATTTACCTGTTGATAAGTGACAGATGCCAAACTTCTCTACTAGTTTTGGCGCCTAAAAACATTTGAAATTATTCAGAGACTAGAGGTGCTTACCTGAGTTCCCTTACCGGCTCCAGGAGGACCTAAAAGGATAAGTCTCATTCCAGAACTATCCGCCATTTCCCTCTGTATGTACTATGGTACTTAAACCAATGGGTGTGTCTAAAATAGACCACGCCCTCATTATTAAACCATTATTTTTTGCTCTTGCTAATAGAAAAAAAAAGATTGTAAAAATTAAACTATTTTTCTTGACTGTTTTTCTGCTTTTCCTCTCTTTCCCTCAGTCTTTCTGCCTTCTTTGCTTCGTACAAAATCTTCATCTCTTCATATCTCTCTACCTCATCTTGAGTCTTTAGAACAAGCGGTGGGACTGGTATTGCTTTACCATTCTTTCCAAGAGACACGAAAGTGAAATAAGCATCATTAGTCACTCTCCTAGCACCAGACCTCAATCCTTCAGCCTCAACGGACACACGAATAACCAAAGACTTTGAAGACGTGAACACGACTTCGCCCGTAACAAAAACCAAGTCTCCATTGAATATCGGACTGTAGAAGTTAATAGCATCGAGACAGGCTGTGACTGCTAGCGTACGGCAATGTCGCACTGAAGCTATACCTGCAGTTGTATCCATCATCTTCATGAGGGCCCCACCCATCAAGTGGCCGGAACTAGTGCAGTCAGACGGTAGGACTATATTAGTGAGAGTGGTACGTGAGTGAGGGACGGAACACGGTACATCGGCATAATGGTCGTTCTCTTGTCTCGATATCCCCTTGTAGTTGGTTGGTTTCGCTCGAGAGGCTTTTTGGGATTGATACCGGCTGTGGCCAGCAGCTAACTCCTCGTCTGTAAGTCCAGTCAATTCAGGGACGGGGAGTGGTTTAAACTGACCCTCATACGGTCCAACTTGACTTGATATTGCGACGTACCAGAGTCGGGCAGAGTTTGTATGCCTTCTTGTACCGGTCAGAGTGTTCTCCGCCCACACATCAACTGTCACTTCCATTGAATGCGGGGAAGTATAGGTCACTAATGCTTGAACCTACAAATTATAAATAATAATAATAATAATAATGATGATGATAAGACTATTCTATTATTTTGTTTTCTGTACTCTCAAAAGAAGCACAGGTTTCATTTCCTATCTTTAATTTGTACACAGACTTTTATTTGAGGGTTCTACTATACTTAATACAAACTTCTATTTCCTTAATGCAAGCTTCAAGGCCTCTAATTAAGATTGTATTCAATGACATACAGTATTCACCTGTGCAACTTCACCAACGTATATCGGATTATGAAAGTCCATATGCTCTACTCTTGCCAGTACTGATGTCATACTGCTAGATAAAGATGAAGGAGGGTCCTTGTCATTTCTTGACTGATTGCAGTGTCTAGTGGCTACAATATGACCAGCTTGCTCTATCAGTTTGAGTATTGTGCCACCGTGAACATTACCCATTGGGTTAGTATCGTCAGGTAACATTACACGACTTGTTTCAAAAGGGACAGTGGAAGAGAGAACTGGCTGAGACTGCTGTACCCATTGCCTACCTAATTTAGAACACAAAATTTAGGTATGATTTTTCACTTTTCAAAATGCTTAAGTACATGGTAAAATCCCTTCATTGCATAAAGATTGTTTACTTTAATACCTTGTCCTTTAAAAAGGGTTGGAAGTGCTGCTACAAGAGACGAGACAGTAAAAAGTGACCTTCTATACTTTTTCCAGTACTGCCGGGTTCCCCACGCACTGTAGAAGCTAACTGATCTGTAGTGAAAGAGCCTACGGGTTGATAGAACTCTCCATGGCAGTATCCTCAATGTAGCCATTTTTAAATTAAAACTTAAAAGCCTCTGCCTAGAGGAGGAGCTTTGAACAGGAACATTAAAGCACTATGTATCTGTTCTGTCCTGTTTGTGGTAATCTTCTGACAGTTGAGGAAGGCCCCAGTTGCAAAAGATTTGCCTGCAATACTTGTCCATACGTTCAGAACATCACACAAAAGGCAATACTAGTCTAGTAGTAGATCTTAAATCATCATAATTATTTTTTTCATAAACTAGGTTGCATCATACACTTTTCCAAGATTGAAAGAAGTCGATGATGTATTGGGAGGAGCAGCTGCTTGGGAAAATGTAGATAACACTGATGGTAACCGCATTATTAAGTATTGTATAACGTGGCTATGTCTATAATAATAGAGAAATGCCCCAAGTGTTCGCATCCAAAGGCGTACTTCATGCAAATTCAAACTCGCTCGGCAGACGAGCCGATGACAACCTTTTACAAATGCTGCAGTCCTTCTTGCAGCCATCGCTGGAAAGAATAATCAATATTTATGATTTTATTATGTCATAACTTTTGCAATAATCACTTTTATCTTAATTTTTTGTCATTAGGGTTGTTTGCTGTTGTTGTGTTGTCAATAGAAATGTTGGTGCCATGGCAACCCTCTTAGCTCAAGCCACTGCTTGCAGAGTTTCGATGAAACTTTAAGTATTTTCTCTAGCACAAACTGCAAATATTATTAATGCATTATTGCTAGTCTCCATTAACTAACCTTAATAGCTTCAATTGATGGTGTAGTACAGACTGTGTGGGCTGGTGTTGACATGAAATATAAGCAGAATTTCTCCTATAGAATGCATAATAACAAGAGTAAATAATACTATAATAATAATATTAATAATAATAATAAAAATAATGTTATAAGAGTAATAATTATTTTACTCTTGATAATAATAATAAAGAATGTACATCATCTTGTGCACACTCACTGAATGTGTGAACTCACCAGTACATGATTTATTTCATTTGTATGTGCAGTAGTGAACAAGTCCAGCTTCTCAAGGTATTGTAATCCTGACTCATAAGCACTGTTGCTCTTCAACGTGCTCTGTACTTCATTTTGTATTATTAAAAACCTGCAATTATATGTACATGTATGTACTGTAATTATACATGTACATGTACATGTACATGTAAAAATACATATGTATACATGTATGTATATTGTATATGTATGGAGGTTATACCATTTCGGTTTGTTGTCTCTCTCTTGTTTCTCTTGCTTGACAATCAGTTTTGCTTTGTCTCTCATTATGTTGAACTGTCTAATCGGGTTAGGACCGAACCTTAGCTCATTCAGCTTTAACTGGAGCAGCCTTGACGAAACCCTATCGACGCAATACCAAGAAAGATAACTACATGTAAGTACGAGCATGAAATAGAACCTTGCCCGTTCCTCTATCTCTTCTTTCATTTTCCAGCTGTTGTCTATTTTAAGCTGCTTGAATCGATCGTAGCACATTTTCAATCTTGTCTCTATGTCACCTCTATTATGAGGAAAGAGCACATGTGCATGTACATGTAATTCATTTTGATAAGAGTTCATAATCATTATACTATTAATAATAGACCTTGCTTCTTCTTTCTCATCAATGAAAACTACTTGCATATGCCATGGTGGGATTCTACATGGACAAGAAGTAATAAATTCATAAAAAATCTAAACTTGATTGGAATCGGCTCAAACTTGATATACAACATGCGTACATGTATATGCATCAGAAAAATTTTTTAAAAGAGAATTGTTCCTAGTCATTTTTGGTGAAATTTGGCCAATGACTCTGCACTATAGTACAGGGACTTTGGCCTGATTTTGGAGCAACTTTAAATATTTGTAAAAAAATCCAGACTTGGTAAAACTCTCTCTTTGTAAAATACGATTTACATACTATGGTGTTTCTACTATGCATTGACATACCTAGAATCAAAAAGGTTTGGAGCCTTTTTTTCATGGACTGCATGACCTTCATGAGGCAATTTATTTAAAAACTGACGCGTGCCATGGCCTGAATCAGGGCCATTCCTATCCTTAAAGACTGGAGGATAATGTAAGCATAAGTTTTGTACTACTGAAGCCTGAAGTGGCATCTATGCATATACAAATATTATTATTATCATGAAAGTCCACAATCAGCAGAAATAATGATAGTCCATACCTTCCCTTTCAAATCCCTTGATTTCACATTGTGCAGAAAACAGAGTATGTTCATTATAAACTGAAGCTTGCTTAGGTAGGCTTCTTCAGCTTGAATTTTATTCCTATAATTTATTCCACTTTAAAAAAACAATAATGATGATGAAGGTCAACATGCCTTCTAGCTACACTTCTTTCTAATGTACGCTTGAAACGGGAAGCAGCATAACTAGTCATTATGGTCGCTGCAATACTTGCACTGCATTCAGGACGATGTGGAACCAATTCATTACCAGACTTCTTATCAGTCCTTCCCTGCATGAAAAACAAAGCTTAAACTTGTATGATGCATGGTAATGCTTGCTTGCTTGCTTGCATAAAGATTATACTAGTTCTTACAATAATAGTGCAGTTGTATGGGATTCCAATATATGTTCCTTGACTAGACTTCTCTAAAGCAGCCATATGTACTTGTAGCGTGGACATACCTGCCCTAAGCAAGTTAATGGGCTGAGTTGTTCCTTTCTGCCTGCTGTTGATCATTGGAACTCTGATCTGAAGTAATGAAGGTATAATAGTTTGCAGTATTATTCATGACTTTACCAATGGTGTTGTTAATTGACATGATTCTATTTGCTTCCAAGAAACCGGTGGGCGCTACAGAAATGAACATTAATTTTAGTTCTTCTACATGCAGAAAAAACTTGAATAAATCTTACAGAGTACATAGTATATTTAGGTGGCTTTATCTCAAAGGAGTGAGCCAGCCATTCGAATACATGAGACTCTGGAAGTGAGCCAAATGACCTGTAAGGTTGATTGACTGGAGAGAAGAAGCCAACATGCTTTGGTTGATGGCCACGTCTAGAAGAGGGAAGCTTTGTTAGCAAGAGGGATCCTCTCCTTGTCAAAACCTCAGTAGGAAGAGACAAGCTGTTTTCAGTCCCCACTCCAACCACAGCAGGCTTTGCTTCTACAGCCGAGCGAAAATATTGACAGTATTCCTTAACTGCCATCGTCTACCTATTGGCACTAAACCCGTTACCAAGGACTCTTTAGAAAGAGTTACAGCATAACTTCTGGCATACACAACCATGTTGTACCACATGGGTGACCAAAAACCACACCTAGATCTGTATCTCAAAAATAGGCCTACTAACACCTTAATTGTTATTATTAGTATTATTATTAGTATAAAATAGGAGCAGGGTGAAAATTCACAGATTGAGAACAATAAGCACAATAACAACAATTAAAATTCACATTATCAAGTAATAAAAATAAAAGAAAATTTGTTTCCTAAAATAACCCTGTACTAAAATCATTCAATCACTTCGTCTATTGAGCAGTCCCAGTGACCTAATAAGTAAAAAATAGTATCAAGATGATAGCCAATACAAAAGAGGCATAAGTACTGGTACCTTTCCTCCTTCCTTTTCAAACTTGGTAACCTCCTTAATTACACCAACAGCGACTGTACTCTTCATATCACGAACAGCAAAACGACCGAGTGGAGGATACTCGGAGAAAGCTTCAACGCACATAGGCTTGGAAGGTATTAGGTTAACAATGGCAGCATCTCCATTTTTGAGTGACTATATATAAAACATGAGATAAAGAAACAAATAGTCTTCATCCAAATAAATAAATAAAAACAATAAGATAATAGCCATTGTATAAACTAAAATAATGGTGAGCTACTCACTTGTGGGTTGTCCTCAAGCTTCTTGCCACTACGACGATCGCATTTCTCTAAAAGCTCGGCAAACTTGCATGCAACGTGAGCAGTGTGGCAATCAAGAACAGGAGAATATCCAGCATGAATTTGGCCAGGATGATTTATGATAATAACCTAAGAAAGGGAGGTTGAATTAAATAAATTATTTTATAAGTAGCACCAAACCTGAGCCTTGAAGACTTTGGCCTGCTTAGGTGGATCATTTTTGGAGTCGCCGGCAACAAAACCTCTCTTCAACTCCTTGACGGAGACGTTCTTCACATTGAATCCTACGTTGTCTCCAGGCAAAGCCTCGGTCAAAGCCTCGTGATGCATTTCAACAGACTTGACCTCAGTGGTTAGACCAGAAGGAGCAAAGGTAACAACCACACCGGGCTTCAAAATACCAGTCTCAACACGACCTACTGGGACAGTACCAATACCTATTGAAAAAAAATTATTAAAATATATATATACATACACACATATACACAAGAAAATACCTCCAATCTTGTACACATTTTGAAGAGGTAACCGAAGTGGCTTATCAGTAGGCCTCTTCGGAGGGAGAATACTGTCCAGAGCATTGAAGAGTGTCTTTCCAGAGACAATGCCTTCATTTCTTTCTATGTGCCATCCATCAAACCATGGCATCTATATTACACGAAGTAAGAGCATAACTTAGGCCTAGCCAAATTATGCTTTAATCATGGCATTTAGGCAATGCCAAAAATTCATATCCTACTGAGTATTTTGCTTTGAAATTATCTTCTTTATTTATGCTCTATTTAAACATTGACTATCATGTTACATGTATTGACCCAATTATGCCGACATAAGAACTACCTAGCTTACAATAGGCCATCTAAACTCACATTGTCACTCTGCTCCAGCAAATTATCTCCATGCCAGCCAGAGATTGGAATAATTGGAACAGCCTTCGAATCATAACCAATCTTTCCGATGTACCCGGCCACCTCCTTTGAAATTTCATTAAAACGCATCTAATGAACAAAAAAAATCATAATATTAAATGTATAAATGAGAGATTCACTATACATTAAAATGATATTACCTGAGAGTAAGGTGGTTCAGTGTTATCAATCTTATTTACGCCGACGATGAGTTGTTTCACACCTAGCGTGTAAGCGAGCAAGGCGTGCTCACGTGTTTGACCATTCTTGGAGATACCAGCTTCAAATTCACCAGTGCTAGCTGCAACTATCAGTACGGCACAATCAGCCTATAGTGATTTGTATAAGAGTGTGCATAAATATGAAAAAGGATGTTAATTTTGACAAGCTACAATCGATAGTCAGAATTATATAAAGGATGCTGTCATGATTGAAATGACATGCTACAATGATGATATCATCTACTGTATAACCGCTTAATTTCGAGGGTGAAATTTTCGCTGTTTTCACGGATTTTCTGTATCCACGAAAGTTAATTCTGTAAAACTATCCATATCACCCTATAAACATGTGTACTTTGTAATAAGAACCATGAAACTTTGAAAGTCAATTTCGCAATAAAAAGACTTGTGGCCTGATGTGGATCAAGACTATATGTAAATAACTCACTTATAAAATTACTACCATCATGTACCTGTGATGCTCCTGTGATCATGTTCTTAATGAAATCCCCGTGTCCTGGAGCATCGATAACAGTCACGTAGAACTTCTCTGTTTCAAACTTCCCCAGAGCAATATCGATAGTGATCCCTCTCTCGCGCTCGGCCTTTAGCTTATCGAGTACCCAGGCATACTTGAAGGAACCTTTACCCATCTACCACACAAAAAACAAAAGCCATGGAACAATGATTGGGGGAAGAGGGATAAAGTGTCTTACTTCAGCTGCCTCTTTCTCGAACTTTTCAATTGTTTTCTTGTCAATTCCACCACATTTGTAAATGAGATGACCAGTGGTGGTTGATTTTCCGGAGTCTACGTGACCGATGACAACAATGTTAATATGCGTCTTTTCTAAAAAGGAGAAGACATTAAATATCATAATATTTTTAAATAAAAATAATCCACTAACCTTTTGGCATCTTTATAAAAAGGAGAAGAAAAGGGAACAATGTAACACGTGCTCAAGCAATGAGTCAAGAAAGAGTTAGTTACCTTCACTCCAAACTGAACTGCATGGAATTTGAAAAATGCAATCACAGATCTTCGGCTTCCTAGCCTATATAGGACTTCAGCACCCATTTTAATTTTTTTAGTTCAATTAATGATAAATATATTGATGGATATTTAATAAATAATTTTGCTTAAAAATTCATAAAAAATCCAATTTTCATTAGAATCAGCTCAAACTTTCTACACAACATAAGAACATGTATATGTATCAGAATTTTTGACCAAAGTCACAGTACTATAGTGCAGGGGCGCTTACCCAATTTTTGGGGAAATTTATTCATAAAAAAATCTAAAACTTGATCAGAATCAGCTAAAACTTTCTACACAACTTAAGTACATGTATATGCATCAGATAAAATTATAAAAATGAAGAATTCTCTCCTAGTCATTTTTGGTGAAATTTGGCAAAATCCCTGTACTATAGTACAGGGACTTTTCCTCAATTTTGGAGCAACTTTAAAAATTCATAAAAATTGGAATGTGATCAGAATCAGTTCAAACTTGCTACACAACATAAGAACGTGTATGAATTAGAAAGTTATAAAAATAGAGAAATTCTTTTCTAACCACTTTTGGCCAAAGACCAGTACAAGGTCTCTTGCTTGATTTTGGAGCAAAATTTCAAATTAGTATTATTATTATTATAAATAGGAGCAGGGTGAAAATTCACAGATTGAGAACAATAAGCACAATAACAACAATTAAAGTTCACATTATCAAGTACAATTGCAATAATAAATTACAATACAAAATTGTTTCCTAAAATAACCCTGCACTTAATATCACTTTTTCTTTTGAGCCTTCTGAGCAGCCTTGGTGACCTAGTCGAGCACAAAATATAACAATAGCCAATACAAAAAGGTATAAGTACCTTTCCTCCTTCCTTTTCAGACTTGGTAACCTCCTTGATTACACCAACAGCGACTGTTCTCTTCATGTCACGAACAGCAAAACGACCGAGTGGAGGATATTCGGAGAAAGCTTCAACACACATAGGCTTGGAAGGTATTAGGTTAACAATGGCAGCATCTCCACTTTTGACGGACTAATGTAAAAAGTATAAGATAAAAAAAAGATTGAATAGTCTTTTGTTTAAAATATAAAAAAAGAGAGTAAAAGATGTAAAAGCCACTGTAGAAACTAAAATAATGGTGAGCTACTTACTTGTGGGTTGTCCTCTAGCTTCTTGCCACTACGACGATCGCATTTCTCTAAAAGCTCAGCAAACTTGCATGCAATGTGAGCAGTGTGGCAATCCAGAACAGGAGAATATCCAGCATGAATTTGGCCAGGATGATTCATGATAATAACCTAAGAAAGGGAGATTCAATTAAATCTGATATTATTTTAAGATGAAGCACCAAACCTGAGCCTTGAAGACTTTGGCCTGCTTAGGTGGATCATTCTTGGAGTCGCCAGCAACAAAACCTCTCTTCAACTCCTTAACGGAGACGTTCTTCACATTGAATCCTACGTTGTCTCCTGGCAAAGCCTCGGTCAAAGCTTCATGATGCATTTCAACAGACTTGACCTCAGTGGTTAGACCAGAAGGAGCAAAGGTAACAACCACACCGGGCTTCAAAATACCAGTCTCAACACGACCTACTGGGACAGTACCAATACCTATTAAAAGAAAAAAAAACATACACAAACATACACAATAAAAGAATTACCTCCGATCTTGTACACATCTTGAAGAGGTAACCGAAGTGGCTTATCAGTAGGCCTCTTTGGAGGGAGAATGCTATCTAGAGCATTGAAGAGTGTCTTTCCAGAGGCATTGCCTTCCTTCCTTTCTATATCCCATCCCTTGAACCACTTCATCTAAAAATATAAAGAGAAATTAAAATAAAAACAGGAAGAGAACCGATCTAAACTTACATTGTCACTAGCCTCCAACATGTTGTCTCCCACCCAGCCAGAGATCGGAACGAATGCAACAGCTTTTGGATTATAACCAATCTTCTTGATATAAGAGGACACCTCTTTGACGATTTCATTAAAACGAGCCTAAGAAAAAAAAACAATCAAAAATATTAAATGCATGAATTAGCTATACATTATACATAAAGTGTTAATGATATTACCTCGGAGTATGGTGGCTGAGTAGAGTCCATCTTATTTACGCCGACGATGAGTTGTTTCACACCTAGTGTGTAAGCGAGCAAGGCGTGTTCACGTGTTTGGCCCTCCTTAGAGATACCAGCTTCAAATTCACCAGTGCCAGCTGCAACTATCAGTACGGCACAATCAGCCTATAGTGATAAGAACAAGTTGTGTAAAAACGTGTTAAATCATAAAAGTATGCAGCAAAATGGAAGAGTGCTAATTCGACAGGCTGTAATCAATATTTGGGGCGCTTTTTATAATTTTATAAATGAGGAATGAAGTAGGATGAGATTACTTGGCACAATGATCTAGTGTAAAGTTGTACATGTTACAAGATAACAGGTGCTATGACAACTTATTCATATGTACCACACATGCAAGGTCACAGCAACAAAGGTCAAATTAACCACAAACTTTTGTGTACTCAATTTAAGCAGCTATAATACATTATTATAACAGTAACCCAATTATAAAAATAAAATTACTACCATCATGCACCTGTGATGTTCCCGTGATCATGTTCTTAATGAAATCCCTGTGTCCTGGAGCATCGATAACAGTCACGTAGAACTTCTCTGTCTCAAACTTCCAAAGAGCAATATCGATAGTGATACCTCTCTCACGCTCGGCCTTTAGCTTATCAAGTACCCAGGCATACTTGAAGGAACCTTTACCCATCTACAACACAAAAAAACAATAGAACAATGATTGGGGGTGAGGGTTTAAGTGTCTTACTTCAGCTGCCTCCTTCTCGAACTTTTCAATTGTTCTCTTGTCGATTCCACCGCATTTGTAAATGAGATGACCAGTGGTGGTTGATTTTCCGGAGTCTACGTGACCGATGACGACGATGTTAATATGTGTCTTTTCTAAAAAAGAAGTAGACGTTAGATATTATAATATTTTAAAAATAAAAAACAATTTACTAACCTTTCGGCATCTTTATATGTCTTTGTTAGTCTAAAAGGAGAAGAATAGGGCACAATGTAACACGTGCTCAAGCAATGAGAGGATTACAAGGACAATGGCTACTAGTATCACCAATATATAGCATAAGAAAGAGCTGGGTGCTCTTACTCACCTAGTAATGAAGGACAAAAGAAGATGAAGAAAGATACAGCAGAAGAAGAACAGTGACTCTTCTCTCCAACACAAAACCCAAGGGGTAAAAGAACGAGGTCCAGTTGTACGCATGCGCAAATGCTACACTGTGACGTCACTTGGTGTAGTCATATTACGTAATTGACTGGAGAAAGCTAGATTTTATAATAATTATTTAATATTCCAACTAAAATCAAGAAGTTTATTGGAGTGAGAGAGTGGAGAGAAAGGAGCAAAATAACAAGGAATAATACTTATAAATTCATATTGCTGCTGCCATTATGTACATGCACATATAATAATAATAATACACACACACACACCACACATATACACATACACAATACATTTATGAAGAGGTTTCTGCATTCTCATCTGTCTCTGCTAGATTAGTTGCCGAAGCTTTTGGTGTATTTTCCTTAGTCCCTGGTCCGCTCACTCTTGCTACAGAGAGATCGACAGATTGCTGTGTAGTAGCTCCTTGCAGTTCAATAGCTGTAGTGTCTTGTTTTTGTAAAGGTATGGGAGTAGAGGAAGGAGGATCTTTGGTTTCTTCTCCCTCGGCTGTTGCTTCTTCAGTAACTTCAGCAGCTTCTTCCTGATCGATAGGTTTTTCTATAATAATGTCTATACAAAATGATGATAAATCAAACTAAAATACATTATGCACGTACCTTCTGTTTCAGGTATTTCTTCATTATCTTGCTCCTTCTTTCCTTCCTTTGATTGAGGAGGAGGGGGTAGCTCTGGAGACTGCAGTTTCGACTCCTGTCTAGTTGATGGTACAGGTTCTTCTTTTTGCTGCTCCCTCTCTTCCTCTTTTTGTTTAGCGGGAGAAGGAGAAGGAAGAGCAGGAGGGGGAGGAGGTTCTTCAATGGAGTCATCGTGTACAGGAGTGCTTCGTTTGGGGATTGGATGCTTTAATTTTAGTACAGCATTCTCCCCAAAAGCTGAGTCCTATACAGTACAATAGTATAACATTATTGAGCAAAATACATGCATGCAGGATTAAAATTAATTATCTTACAGCTCTGGCATCACGAAGAGCAATGTTGCGTGCTTCCATGTCTTTGCGACCAGCAAACGGCCTGTCTTTGCCTTTATGCTGCTTTGGTGGCATTAATCTTTTTATCTGAGAAGTAAGACATAGCAGAAATGCAAGCAAATGGAATTTTTCATATCTTACTTGCATTGGTTTTTCAGGTATAGTTGGCTGGAGTGTAAATGTGTTGTTACCAAGAGCATTACCATCTGCAATAGATAGTCTCTTAGGCCTATTGATCAGTAATAAAAGTAATAATAAAAGTAATAATAAATAAATTTAACTTAGTATTTGATATACCTTGCATTTCTTATACTTTTAATTGAAGGATTGATAGCTGTGTATGGCAGTTTCATAAATCTCCTACAAGGAGCATGGTAAATAATAATAATGATGATGATGTTTTTTGCTATTATTGATTACTTTGATCCCTGGACAGCCACATACTGCTCTCCATCTTTAATGTCTGCTGCAGAGTGAATGGTCTGACCATCGAGTGTGCATAGTCTCTTAGCTGGCAGTGTGAGCTCAACTTTCTCTGTGATTAGCTCTAAGACCTATGCTCACACAATAATAATAACAAGATAATATTTGTAGCATACATGCTCAAGAGATCCCATTATTCTTCTTGATAGTAGTACACGAGCTCCTTGATACGAGATATCACCATTTCTAAATACACTATATGAAGTGGATGAGAGTCAATTAATGGTGCATTAAAAGGGCTAATTGTGTTCATTTTGTGTAGCATATATATGTACATGTAAACTGTAAAGCAAATTTAGCACCTTAATTCTGAAAAAGGACACCTCCTGAATATAGGCACTGTAAATTAACTACCTATTCATGCAGCTACTTGACAATTGAGCTTACTGTATAAAGTATGGCTTCTCAGGTAAATTCAAGAATCTTGACACTACTTGTATGGCAGGCCTTGCAGGAGAAGCCTGGAGGATAACAATAATCATAGCGGCCATTGTGTTTACAATAAATATTGTGCAATTTACTTTGCTTGCATCTTTACTGTGTGGCTGTAGACGTGAATGTAACTGAGAATATCTTGAATATCTAGAGGAGAAGGAAGGAAAGATGCATAGAATATGCAGCTGTGGTTTCCCTTACCTAAGCTTTTTGAAATGCTCATTGCCCCCGGCAACATAATGCTTCCCATTTTCAATACTGTCTAGTTTGTCCACTTTGCTTCCCTTGCTCGGAGTGTAGAGGTTTCTGACTGCGATTGGTGCCTTAATTCCACTGGTAACCCTGTTCAGGAGCGTGTTAAAGTCCTTGATGTGTCTTTCATTGATTACTAGCATCCTGGGCCTCTCATTGTCCTGTCCATTCTTAAACACGTAAATCCTCTTGGCAACTCGTGGTTCATATTGCCGAGAAATCACTGCAGTTGCCTCCATGCTGATTTTTAGGTGCTTCCTTTAGTTTTATATCTCTAAGGAGTCTGAGGGATGTGCTTCGATTCTCCTGTGCTCATGCTGTTTGTACTTTGCAATATGGTTGTCATGGTGACCGGTAGAAGGTGGGGCTGAGATTATGCAAATGATAAAGTCACCTGACTCACTCACTGCAGCAGACAGAATTAACAATGGTCGGCGGTTACAAGCCCAGTTACAAGCTCTTTTCTTTCTTTCTCCTCTTGGCAGCCTGCTCCAACCTTGTCAGTACTCAAGACCTGAGCAAGCTACAGTCTCTTGGTCCATTTCAACTTAGCCCGGATGAAGACTTGACTCACGAAGATCTACAAGATGTCATAGCCACCTTTCACGAAATGTTCCCCAAGCTCCTCTCGGAACAATCCAACTCAACAAGCAAATGTGCCGTGGCTTGGGGGAAACTCGAGAAACAGAGATCCTATCAAAAAGTTGGAGGAAAGAATATAAACGTCACTGCATCAGTCGTAGCTTTGGACTCATTCGGTAAGCCTGGCCCTGGGATACTGCTGGGGAACACTGCCTTCCAGGGCTCCTTTGATGAATGCTTGAGCCTGGACACCAATGTACGGATGCAGTACTGTTCGATGGGTGTAGCTATACTCAGAACTGTTGATTCAACTCCAGTCTTTGTTTTCAGGGAGGGTATCTGCCTCCCTCAAAACTGTACATTTTATGATATTTATAAGAACGTTGAGTCTCTGAATTTGTTAATTGGACAAGATGGTTATATTTTATTTGTGAGTGAAACAGCTAATGGTCAGCCTTTTTACGTCTGCACTCCACAGGGAGATGTCCCCTACAATGCAGGAGCCATCATTATGATCATAATTTGTCTAGCACTCTTCTTACTTGCTATTGCTGGCTCAATTTTTAACATATTTAACGATTATTACGAAAGTCTCCAAGAAGCCAAGTCGGAGCTGTCACCAATGCACACACAAACCACGTCTGTACAGTTAGCCGAGTCTGAGCCTCTCCTTGCCACTCGTCAGCCTAAAAACACTTTCGGCAGGCGTTTTAAGACTTTCCTCAAAGAGTGTCTGCTCGGTTTCTCTCTGTATAAGAATGTCCCGGTCGTCTTGTCAACCTATCAACCACCAGCTGCTATCACTAATCTCAACGGTATGAGAGTCATTAGCATGTTCTGGGTAATACTCGGCCATACGTATTACTTTTTGTTAGTCTTTGGTGGTTTTAAAGACTTTTCCGTCGTCACGGAACACTTTATGCCTCGCTTCACCGCCCAGTCAATCCTCAATGCTTTTTTTGCCGTGGACTCATTCTTTTTCATCAGTGGATTTCTAGTCGCTTACCTAACCTTCAGAGAGATGAACAGGAGAAAAGGGAAGTTCCCATTTGTTACTTTTTATCTCCACAGGATACTCCGTCTCACGCCCACATACATGTTTGTTTTATTCTTCTTTTGGTTCCTCTCGAATCATTTAACCAGAGGTCCCATGACCCCTTCGACTGTTGGCCCTGGGTCTGCCCAGTATGAAAACTGTGTCAAGTACTGGTGGACCAATCTACTCTACATCAACAACTTTTATCCAACTAATTTCGGAGACGAGTGTATGGGATGGACGTGGTACCTAGCCAATGACATGCAGTTCTTTGTCATCACTCCTCTGTTCCTCATCGTACTCTATGCCTCCTTTCCAATCGGTCTCGTTAGCATTGGGATCACTCTAGCAGCTTCTATGGGAGTGAGTGGCTTCATTGGTGGTTTTTATGGATACCATGCTAACTCATTCTACAACCTTTATAACGGGATAACACAAAACGCAAGTATACCGACTGTTGATACTACAATATACGGTAAGCCATATTGCCGGATTGGTCCTTACCTTATTGGTATTCTCCTCGGATATATAATATTTAAAAACTACCGGACTACATTTAGTAAGCAGCTCAATTGGATCTGTCACCTCGTTCTATGGGCATTAGCTATTATAATAGGTATGTTCACTGTGTACGGCCTATATGGTGATTACCATGGTCACGAGGTTTCCAAGGCTGGAGATGTTGCCTACTTTATGCTAGCCAGACCAGCATGGGGAGTTGCTCTTGCTATAGTTGCATACACCTGTCACTATGGTTACGGAGGAGTCATAAACAGGTTCCTTTCTTTACCGTTTTGGGTCCCGTTAGGCCGACTGACCTTCAATGCTTATCTTGTACATGAGATTGTCCTAGAAGTAATTTTTGGAAATTTAAGAGAGTCTATCTCTTATGGCGACACCACAATGGCTATATTCTGTATTGGAACTGTGGTCCTGTCTTATGGAGCAGCTGCCTTGGTGACTGTCTTTGTTGAGTTCCCAATGTCTAATATCGAGATTGCCGCTTTTAAATTATTTGGTGCTAAAACTCGTGAGTCTACACGTATTGTGAAGAAGACTGAAAGTCCAAGCAGTGAAAAGAAACAGTGAGATTTTTTGCCTTTTTTTGAGTATTATTGCTGTGAGTGTGTGTGTGTGTGTGTATGTCATTCTCAGTATTGTTTTAGGATTTATACTTTTTTGTTAATAATTATTTGGATGATAAGCCTTTTGTTATTACTAAAATACTAAATTT